GATGCCCCCCTCCACCATGAAGTTTCTGCCTCATAGTCAGCCAGTCACAGACTAAACCCCCTAAAAAAATAAGCAGAAATAAACTTTTCCTCCTTTAAGTTATGTATGTTAGATGTTTGGTTCCAGTGATGAAAATCTGACTAATACCTCATTGATCACCTATCAACCAGTTAGACACCAAGTCCTGTCAAATTTATTTTCTGAATACTTTCAGCCCCATTTCCCTTTTTCTAGCCTTAACATCATTTTTTCTTTCATTGTTTCATTTGAGAAAATAATTCCTGGATGCCTGCACATGAAACAAGCTTTATGCTAGGCACCAAAGACACAGTGCTGAATAAGACTCAAATCTGCACCTCCATGGAGAAGATAAGCCAGAAAATTATAGTACAATGTAAAAATGCTATTCTGAAAATACTCTATCTAAAGGGCATACACCCCAGCCTAGGAATGAGTGATACAAGGAGCCAAGGAAGGCTTGCTGGCAGAGGTGACTCTGAACAAGTCTCAAAGTATAAGTTACCTCAAACTTCATCTCTTCAGCAAAATGTGTGTGGCCCTTCACTACCCTGAACTTTGTATGTATTTCTTTGATTGCTTGCATTACACTCTCTAGTTCTTTGTCTTCATATTTGGTTCTTTTCTCAGAAGTTTTATTTATCATCATCCAACTCACCGTGACTGTGTGACAGGAGTTTGTAAGCATTCAATAATTGTTTCGAGAACCAAGTGGTTGGTACTGTAGTTAGTAACTCAGCCATGGGGAAAGGCCATCGACTCCTGTGGAGTCTAATGAAGTGCTACTGTGTTTTCGAAATGGTCCGATGCCCTTCCTGCTCTGTATGCCCAGGCTTTCACTTTTTGTTCCTACCACTGTGTGTGACATCTGAACGATCCAAGTTTCACTAATCATATGACAGTGCCTCTCACAGCTCCCTCCTTAGAAGTTTCATCCACCAAGGCTCCCTGACCAGGAGTGACGGAGACTGACGAAGGACATAGGACACCCCACGGTTCCACTCTGAGAGTCACAGTCATCAGACCCATGGAACGACTGACTGGGTGAGCACGCTCATCTCCCTGCACCTCTGGAAAAAATGACAGGAGCGCTGAAACCAATTTGAAATCTAAACATCGTGGCTTCACTTCTTCTAAACTGGTATCTGTAGGTAGGTAAAAATGGTGTGGTTCCAATTTCACATATTTCTAAGTTGGACCAGAATGAAATAGTGGAAATTCATAATAAAGCAGTGTTTCAGTATATTAGACACATTCTACCCAAAGGTTCGCCAGATGATTCCGAATGGTGAATCCATTTTAGTTAAGAATAGTTTTAGTAATCTATTTTTTGAGAGATATTTATTTATCTTTTATTTAGAGCAAGTAAAAATATGTTGATTTAAATGTATTTCTGTGCCAGTAATAGAATAGGTGTTCTTAGAGATTAAAGCTGGAAAGCAATATTTTAGTCCAATCCTCAAGATTCATGCCAACCAGTGACATTACAGCAGCAGAAAATGCCAGAGCTGGCAGAAACCTTGGTGACCAGATAATTCAATTTTCTATTTTCTTCACTTATTTGGTCTACAAATATTTATTGTGTACTTACTATCTATAAGATTATAGACAAACTGCAGTGCATCAGAGAGACAGTCCAGGCAGAGAGACAGGCATTAAATAAACACCCAGTAAAGGAATTATAATTGCTTAGGTTCTATGAAGACATTAGCATAAAACCATTAACAGCAGGATGATGTTTAGCTGAAATCTTAAAGGATCAAGAAATTTTAGCCAGAAAAAATAGGGCCTGGGGTTAATGTAAAACCGGTGATGCAAAGCAAAGACTGGAGAAACAAGAACACCAGATGTCTGCATGGAGTCCCATAGTAACCCACTGCCATCAGCATCTATCCAGAAACAAAGACCCAGGAGGCAACGCGGCCTGGCTACAAGCCCCAGACGGTCCACAGACCCAGGCCTCAGCAGTGTCTCCTCGGTCGGCACACAGTACACCATGCTGGTGTATTGCCCTGTGTTCTGACCTGTTAAGGTACTGGGGACCTTGTAGAGAATGAAGCAGACCCAAAGCCCCAACCCACAGAGCCAGTATTCAGATATGGGATGCGGCAGGAGAGAGTATGGCTCCGAGAAAGGCAAAACAGGGGGAGAGAGATTTGTTGGGGAAGGTGCAGTTTATGTGATGTGAAGAAGACAGGGCTGGCCAGATCTCCTGACCTCACTGATGAGTCTTTACCATACTTGGTGCTATGCACTGGTACTCAGGGAACATGTACTCTACCCTGAGCTGAAGGTTTGCATCATTTGCTCTAAACATGCTGACAGATGCAACATTTTAATGGCACAGTTAGTCTCCAAAAAATGATCCTACAAGAGGTATCCCTTTCTATAAACCCTGAATGCATTTTGGGTTTATACACCACATGGGTATTCAAGATAGTGAAGTCATTTCACAAAAATAACCATGTCTGTATCTAATAAAGTAGAGAGTGGGATGAGTACATCATAGAGTTTCACCCCTGCCACCAGGTGACATTTCCAGGACCCAGTCTCCTCCCTGGACACAAAGACACCAGCTGTTCTCTTCTCAGCCCCCTCTTCAGTCCTCTACTCTTTATTCATACCAAACTGTACTTGTTCTCCTGGAATCTGAAAATACCTTATTTTTGAAGAGTACTGACACATAGAAATTGGTTGGTTACTCAGTGATGACTTGTAAATTCTTACATAGTATTACTGCTGACTGGGCAAACTTTCAACTGTGCTAGCAGTTGTCTCCTGGATCTTTGTTTCTGAATAGATGTTGATTGCAAACTGTTTTCTTTTTGGGAAACCGAAAAGAAAAAATCCCCACAAAATCGTTGAATTTGATCACCCTAAAATTTTAGGGAGGGAGGTGAAATCTGAGGATCTAAAATGCATATAACAAATACTTCTTTGCAGACTGGCAAATGAAAGCTTCTTGGTCTCACTGATATCTAAAGACACATAGTAATGGAGTGGCCTAAGAATAATTTATCGTCAATCCCAGCCAGTTGAGATGCAACCTAACTCAGCTACACAGGGATCCTGTTCCTGGAAAGCATCAGGTGTCTTAAAGTGGAGCAAGCAGGGGCTTTGGGGGCACCATCTTCTCTCTAGTCTACAGCAAAGTCAGGAAGGAGGCTCCTGATCCCCTGGATCCCAGTTCCCCCAAATGTCCCTCAGGGTAGAAGGCTGTCCCACTGCTGATAACCTGTGGGCCCCCCTGTAAGCCCCCAGTCAGAATGTGAGATAAGGACCATCCTACAGGCTCCTGCCCACCAGCCCTTCCCCGATATCTTTTGTGCTGTGTACCTGCCAGTGCTGAGATCCCCAACAGAAGGAAGACATGGGACCATAGTGGGCTGATAGGGAAGGCAAAAAGGGTAACTTTGGAATATGACATCAATCAAGAGAGATGGTTCCTCATGAATGTAAGGACCACATGAATCTTAATGACTGAGAAGAACTAGGTGGTAGGAAAGCATTGCCAAGGACACCAAAAGACCTTGTAGAAACCCTGCCTATTTGTTCCACAGGACACCAAATCACAGAGGAGCCAGTGCACAGCAATGAGAACAGAACTGGCCAGCTGCTCAGGATGTACTGTCAGGAGCTGCTTGTATCCTCTGTGCCATGAGCTAGCAGCAGCGAGGCAGAGCCCATTTAACAAAAGATTCACGTAAGTAAATGGGATAACTACACAAATGAGGTTTTCAGTCATTACAGAGGTGTCTTTCAGCAGAGAAAGAGCTCAATTCTAGCTCTTGATCGACCTCTCACAACGTTTCCAACTGTACAGCACATGGAAGGAACTCATCAAGCTTCAACATAGTTTCATCTTGGTTACTTGTGGTTTTTTGACTTGGGGATCTGTCAAAAGTGTTCCTGGCAAATCATCCAAGTAGTTAACCAGTTGACTTACACATCCTGTTTGCTGTCATATGGTTCTTACCCACGGCACCTAATAAAATTGTAGTCTGTTGTCATGGAAAAAACATCCAGCAAAAAAATAAATGTTTAATTACATGCAAAATTCGTTAAAGCTGGGCATAAGCTTGTCACACTGGGCCTAAGTAACAATCATCCTATCCTTACATAGACATTAGGCATGTATATAGTATAACATTCTATTGTATCCCCAGGAATATGTCATTTTTCTTCCTCAAATAATAGGAGGAGTGATCACAATATATGGTAACTCTTTACATTTAAAAAGTTTATTCTGGTACATTAATACATTAAAATTAACCCCCTCACATACTCTTCCTAGCTTATCCCGTCATACTTGACACATTCTGACACTGTTCTGCAAGTCTTCACTTTTGAATTGTGATCAAAAATATAATGAATGCTCTTGCCCCATATCATTCAACCAAAAGGTTTGCAAAGACCTTATTGTGTGTCTTTTTCCACCTTATTCATTGAATCTGGAACCATGTATTTCTGGCTTTTCCCCAAAGTGAAAAGAGCAATAAAGGCTACTCACTTGAACCCTTCCTGAAAATTCAGTAAGTATTCTTATTATCATTATTTCCAAAACAATTTCTCTAATTTCCAAAAAATGACAATAAAAAGTAAATGTTTTGAATTGACTGGATATTGAGGCAGCCATGGTAATGCAACTAAAGACATTCATGAAAGACAATTTCCATAACTGATTCAGAAAGTGACAAAAATAATCAAATAAATATATGTGAAGCAAGGGAATTTATTTTGAGGAAAAATCATGTTGGCGATCTTTTACTGTAAATTTAAATATTCACCATATTTTTTCTACCACAGCTCATAGATGAGTTAACATATCTTATATACCTTCAAATTATAGACTTATACAATGTACTTGTAAATAACAAAATATCATGATGATGAAAACATCCTCTGAAAGCATAGAAAATGTACAAATTTTTGACAATTTACTTAGCTCCAAATTTTATTACATTAAATCTCTTTCATCTGTTCTGAATCACCTAATCATCAGCAATATTTATAAAATTTTCAAAATTAAATATGGAACTATCAACTGTTTCCTAGTGATTCTCATTGTATTTCAAAATTACTATCAAATTGGTATAGTTGGCTTTTGTTTATGAAGTGTTTTCTAAGAGCTCTTTAATCCAGGAAAGAAGAATATCCAGTTCACTGATGGCTTTATAGATTCCTTTGTAGCCAATCTGTAGATAAAATATAAATATAAAATCAAAAAGTTTATATATTTTAAAACACAAAGTATTTTGAAAACCAGAACTTGGAATACTTACCCTATAAAATGTTCTTTTCATTCTGGTAATAGATTTCATCTCTCCTCCTGATGCAGTACAGGAAATCTAACAAACCAAGAGAAAAAACAGATAAAACTGTTGTATCTGTGGAACCTCTTTCCCCCTGTATTTATAAAGTGGCATGTTGACACATGAAAATGTTAAGATGACATGATTATTAACCTTTAAAAATTCTTGAAGTGGCACTAAAAATGTTCTTCTATGCACTCAACAAATATTTTTTGAGTAGGTATCAATAGAGATGTCCTCAATCTTATAGTTTTATGGGGGAAGCAAATGATAAGTAAGAAAACAAAAGGTAAAAATTTCCAAATCACAATGAAAGTTATGTTTGTGATGTACAAGACTCTATAATAAAGATTTATGACAATGAAAATGGTTGGAGGTAAGTCACTGGAGGCATGATCTGGAAGGGGACATTCTCGTCCCCAGCTCCTCCCTTCTTTCTGATTCATAGCTGTCATAGAATGAGCAGCTTTCCTCCACCATGTCTTCTGCCATGCCAGTTCTGCCTTGGAGTCAGGTGACCACGGACTGGATCCACTGAAATCACAAGCTAACTGAAGGTCTCTCCTCCTTTTTAATTGCAGTTTCCCAGAATTTACTCCTACTGCAGATAAAGCACAAACACAAAAAAAACAGGGATTGAAATTGAGATCTGAAGGTGGAAGGAGCAAGGAGAAGAGGAGAAGGAAACATAAGAGATGGAAATTCAGCAGAGCGGAAGTTTTTGCAAAAAGCCTACAACCAGGAAGATCTTAGTGCTTTCCAAAACACGGAAGACTAAAAGCAGGATGGAACAGTCAAGCAAGAAAAATGTAAAGCATAGGTGATGGACAATGACAAAAGTTTACTTTTTGAAAAATCAAATCAGCTGCATCATACACAGTGCACAGTACAATGCGCAGTGCAGACAGACAGGAAAGTGGACCAGGGAATTCATGTTTGTTTTTCTAGCAACAGGCCAATACCTGGAGAAAGTGGCTCATAGGCCTGGCCAGAAAAACTGCAATTCCCCTTTGTGCAGGTAACTTTTCAAGCCCTATCTGAGCATAGAAGCCACTTATGAATCAATTAATATCCTCCTTGATTCTGCCTCCTGATTCTGCCAGGATAAAAAAAATAAAGATAAGAAAAAAGTAGAAACCCTCAGTTTATTTACTTTTTATTCATAAAAGCTTAGCACTGGAATAGGTCAAAGGCACTTTATGGACTGATTATTCTGGATTTGAGAAGGGGAAGCCCAGTCACAGGTAAGTTAGTTACTGACTTAAGGTCTCACAAGAGGTCCCATTCTAAAGACAAAACAGTGTACATTCTATTAGCATAACAAAAAGATAACACTTACTCATAAAATGGAAGTAACTAAATGACATTTATTGAAAGAACACATGGTCTAGGTCAACCAAAAGATCTCTTTAATTGTCTTAATAGCAATGGCAGTATTCATGGATTTGTCTACATAAAGACTTACCTTAAAGTAATGTCTTGTATAAAAAAAGAAATTCTTATGAGAAAGTCATGATTAGGTCCAGAAGTGCTGTGTGCTCAAGTTCTATAAACATGAAACGCTCAGAGGAAGGGGCCATACGTGAGGTTCACATTACAAGTTTAGACCTTCTTGTGCTAGTAGCCTTGAATTAATAATATGCTTGCACCAAACTATGCAGCACAAAGATGGGTGGGGTACTCTATACCATGTACTTGTAAATAACACTCTCACTAAAATGTTGTTTCCACATTGCATGCACATAATACTCTGCTTTTTAACAATAATGCCATTATTCTTCATGTTCCTACAGTCACCATGCACTAAGCTAAAGTCAAAATGGCTTAAAACAGAAACAGTAAATCTACTAGAAGACAATGTAGGGAGAAATCTTGGAAACATAGGTGTAGGCAGAGAGCTCATGAACAAAATGCAAACCACACAGGACGTACTTCAAAGAATCAACAGCTGGGATCTCATCTTATTAAAAAACCTTTTGGACTTCAAAAGAAATCACCAGCAAAGTGAAAAGAAAAAACCCACAGAATGGGAAAGAATGTCCCTCAGACAAAGAACTTATATGTAGAACATACAAAGAATTGAAAAACATCAACCCCTCCAAATTCAAAGACTCTCTCCAAAAATGGGCATCTGAGATGAACACACATTTCTCAGATGAAGATATACAAATGGCAAATAAATACATGAAGAAATGTTCACCATCATTCATTATCTAAGAAATGCAAATTAAAACAGCATTGAGATTTCATCTCATTCCATAAAGAATGGCTGCCATCAAGAAATCAGCTGATAACAAATATTGGCAGGGCTGTGGGGAAAAAGGAACTCTCCTGCACTGTTGGTTGGAGTGTAGATTGGTACAACCTCTGTGGAAATCAGTATGGAGATTCCTCAAAAAGTAGGATTAGAAGTTCCATTCAATCTAACCATTTCCTTCCTGGGTATTTTCCCAGAAAAACTGAGAAGTTCATATCACAGTAATATATGTGCACCCATATTTATAGCAGAATAATTGGTGATAGCTGAATCTTGAAAACAACCAAAATGCCCATCAACCACAGAATGTATGAAAAAATGTGATATTTTTATAAAATGGAATATCACTCAACTATAAAAAAAAGGATGATCTTGAGGCCTTTATACGTAAATGGAGGCAACTTGAGACTGAAAGGATTTTGCCCCAGACTGGACACTGTAGCTGGTAAAACCTTAGAGGCAGAACCAAGGAGCTCTGTCTTCCCCACTCCTAGGAATTTACCTCTGGCACAAAATGAATACCAATGAGATACCTGCACATCACTAATGCCCCTCAGGCATCATCCCAAACCTAAGCTACACATATGCCCCCACTCCACTTGTCTGACGGAGAGATTCCCAGACCCCAGGGGGAGATCACCGACCCTGGGGTGATGCCAGACCCCAGAGTGTCAGGGGGTCTCTCCCCACATTCTTAAAATAAAGGTCACTTATATTTCATATTTCTTATCTTTTCAGCCATACCACAATTCTATTATATGGTTCCCTGACCAGGAACGGCAGACGAGAGACTCCTAGGACGCAATCTGAGTCCCCTACCGTTCACAGACCAGACTGTGTACTGGACTAATTCCTCAATTCTCTACATTCGGGAGCTGTTAAATTTGTCGCTGCTGGTTTGCAAATAACACTGGCCTAATTTATCACAGGTGAGCAAACTCCGGAGAATTCTTCGGCACTGGGCCAGGCCCCACGCGAGTTTTCTCTACCTTCTGTGGATTTGCATGATGCTCTCACGTCCTTAGACAGCCCAAGGCAGAGTTTTTCTGGGCCAGGTCCCACACTGAAAAACTCTCATGTCATTTAGAGCTTTTTAAGTTCTCACGAGCAGAGCTGTTACTAAAATCCACAGAAAAATCCACTCATATGTGGGTGATGGCCAATTATCATGAGCTTTGGAACCAAAATACCGATCAGCCTATAAAGTACAAGTGACGACTTAAACTTAGTAGACCATGGTCTGTTGCCTCACCTGGCCCCATACCAGATTTTATCTTGGGGACCACTTCCTGTCCCCCCCGAAAAACCATACCTATTTATAGCTTATCACACTGACGACAAGTTTACAAAACTATCTTTAAGCCTTTATTTTGAGAATATGTCTTTCCTCCCTGCTTCCCCTCCCTCCCAGCCATGCATGCGGACCCATTCCCCGCCGAGATGGGGGAGGTGCACCCAAACAGTGTTGAGAGGTATGCACGGGTTGCTCTAAGCTCTCATGCCACACTCCAGCTCTGTGCGGGGATTGGCTCTCATGCCACACCCTACTCTGCTGCCTCCTCGAGCAGTCCCAGCTTCATGCTGTAAACCCAGTTCCACACTCCACCCCCACCCTGCACACACCCCCAGAGCAATTCCAGCTCTGCCCCACACGACACACCACACACACACACACACACACACACACACACATCCCGCACTCTCCCTGCCCACTCTGCATGCACCGCCCCACCCTGGGCACACCCCGCCCACCCTCAGAGTTCCATCCCTGCCCTAGGTGCTGCAGGTCTCCCAAACAGCCCCAGCACCCACCCCCCAAGCTCAAGCGCCACTCTGAGCACAAACACGGATGACCGGCAGCTCAGTGGCTCAGAGATGTTATTTCTTGGTCCACACCAGCCTTTTTTACATTCTCAAACCATTTAATCAAGGTTTATTTAGATTAAATAGACTGGAATAAAAAGACAATAGACAAGACTTTGACTGATAAACGGGGAAGTGGCCACCTAGTAATTTTACCAGCCTTGTTTATCAATTAAAGCCTTCAGTAATCTCCATAGCCTTATATGAGATACCTCAACTAAAGTTCATTATTGCTGATCTGATAGTATGTTTGTGCTTTCAAATATAAGATTCAGATTGCTTCTGCTGCCTTTTCCTTGTGTTCCAGCCATGATAAATGTTTTCTTTCAGATCCAGATATATGCTTAGAGATGTTTCACAAATTTCTTTGGTGTTCATATGTTAAAATTCTCATGGTTCATAGCCATTTAATGTTTTATGTTAAGCTTACTGCCTATATTATACTGTACTGTTACCAATCTCCTGAATGTTTAACAACTAAAATTAAGAGGTAATTATAAATTCTTTTTGCTGTAAACCACTAGTAATGTTCTATGTTAAGCTTACTACCTATATTATACTGTACTTTTACCAATCTCCTAAATGTTTAACAACTAAAATTAAGAGATAATTATAAATTCCTTTTGCTGGGAACCATTAGCTCTTCTCCAAAACAAGGGCTATATGATACATGCAAAATAATAAGACCAACACTGTGGCAGAAGCCAAACTTAAACCTTTCCCAGCCTGTCTGCCTGTCCTGGCTCAGCTCTCCACCGAGCCATAACTAACTATATTCAACTGATATTAAATGACACCATAGCTGATTTCTCTCCTAAATAAAAAGGTAAAAATTAATTAAACAGGCCATCCTCCAAAAATCAGATGGCATTAGACATTTTACTAACATAAAGAGATACTTATATATGACATAAAT